TTTCAAAATATCTCAAAAACTATAACAGCGCAAAAGTTAGTTTCAGCGGCGCATTTGAGCGCATAAGTAAAGGGAACATATAGCACTAAGAATCTTTAAGAAAGTGCACTTTTTTAAAACCATCAATTTAGCCCCACCCACCTTCTGTCTTTCGTTATGGCCATACGGTAGTGGCACAAAATGTTAATCCAGTGGCGCAGTTTAGCGCATAACTACAGGCACAATTTGGAATCATAAGATGTACCAAATTGCATAATGGGGGGGCTGCGTGAACTTGAACCCCCCAAATGTTTTTCAAAATATCTCAAAAACTTTAACAGCGCAAAAATTACTTTCAGCGGCGCGTTTGAGCGCATATCGAGCGCATTATTACATAGTAATATCATAACGAAATGTTTAATGGGGGGGCCAACTTAACCGACCCTTGAAATCTCTACTTTTTTGTCAGGACGTGTTAGATATTTTCGTAAGCAGTTGTATTATGAAAGCGAGCACTGTCAGTACTAAATGACGATGGTTTGGTGTAAATCTCTAATTAATTGGTGCTTCACATTTCAAGACGCTTTCTTCCTTTATTCATCTTTCCCATAATTTCCACAGATCTTATAAGAAAATAAGTACCAAGCTGTACCAGAAATAAATCGTTTCAATTAGCCAGCATGAAGAATAATTGGTCTCCAATATATTATAAAAACTTAACATTAATTCAATAATATGAAAATAGTAAATCGTTTTCATGGTTTTTACACTTCTTTTTGTAGCATCTTGCACAATCTGTTAAGTAATCAAGTTCGATTTTGAGATAATGCCACCATTCATCAAAAAAATACAAATTGGTTAAGCCCTCTTCATGAACCAAATTTGGGGAGTGGAAGAACCACCATCAAACCGTAAAGCATTAGGATTCTATTCCTAAAAGATCGCTTCTGATTGTACTAAAAAACGAACATTTCTGCTTTGCCCAGTGCGGTCTAATCCTCCGTGCTTGTAAAGCGGTATCATGCGCGGCTGAACAAATTTATAGCAGAGTCACTATTACACCTTAGTTGAAAGTGTTTGTTGATTCAATCATTGTGTTACAAAATCTGGGACAAGAACCCCGACCATTTATGGTTAGCGGACCCCCCTCCCCTACCAAACGGCCATGAACGTTGTAGTACTTAGCTCGACCAAATCACTATCTGGGATGAACCGATACAATGGAAAATTAGGGAATGTGAACTTGATGGAATATCCCATGGCTAGAGAACCTCAATACGTAATGGAATCAATACAACAAAACTTCGCCATTCCTGTTGTTTGTTTCCTTCAGTTCTGATTGATTTTTGTGACGCATCGTTGCTTAATTTCAGAAGAATATTATTATCCCTACTTGTGAACTGAAATCTAAGGTCGCCTGCTCCGCACTCAAAGTATTCCACTTCTCGAACTTTGCGCCGCTTTTAATTCTGGCCAACTCCTTCAATCGCTATCGCTAAAACGCCAAAGGTAAATTCTCGTAAGAATAATTTGGTGGCCTCTATTATTCAGTCCAATTCTGTAACTAACAAGTTTGCAATATTGCTAACTATAGCAAGATTGCTCACACAAAATTCTAGCAATATTATGAACAATAATAACAAATTTGTCATTCTCTAACTACCAACTTGAGCAATATTGCTAATATTCCTACACTTCGTCAAATTGCTAGGTACGAACTAATCAGAACTTAGTGACAGAGTGTTGTCACTGGGCCTAAAATTAGACGCATTAGCACTTACCACCTAAATTCACAACTGTCTAAACTTTTTAATTGTAAGGTTAGGTATATTTTTGATTTAAGTTTAACCGATTAGGCGCGCTGTGCTTTAAAAGTGACATGCGACTTGTAATTTGTATTTGCTCGCCATGGAAAATACAGATACCAAACAGCGTGGCGCTAGAACAACATAGGAGCAACATTCCATAATTAGAAAACAAGTAAAAAAGTTTTCGCCCTAAGGCGATTAACTTTAGAGCATTTTCCATGCATTGATCAGTAGTTCCTAAAAGGTAACTGAATGGACATAATGCGGATGCGCAGTGTAATTGTTACGATTCTTCTTGGTTCAGGTGCCCTTTGCGATTATATTTCCTAGAAGCATCTGTTATTAAAATTTCTCTATAAATAAGAAATAAGAAATTTGGCAGTTGCGCAGTTTGCGCATGCGCACATCTGATGTTTACAATATGCGATATGCTTATCTTTATTAGAGACAGCTATGTTTAAAATTTCAAAAAAAATTCTCTATAAAAAGGAAAGTTGACATTGCTCCGTTTAATCGTCAAGATTTTGCTTGGCTCAAATGCCAGAGTTATACGCTACCGAATGCAAAAAGAACGAACTAAATATCTTGAACTGTAGGAGTCATTAAGGCCTCGGACAGACGGACAGAGAAAGTGGCTGCAATAGCGCACCCAACTTCTTTGGAAAATGCGCAAAAATGCCATGTTAGTTCATGAAAGAACTGCTCCAAACAAACGATATTAAAAACTAGATGAATTATGGGAAGAATCACAGCGTTTAAAAATTCGTATTTAAACCATCCACCTGCCATATTTGAACGGGTGAAATACACTTGCTAAGACTTAACAACAGCACTTTACCTATTGCTAGGGTCAAGCAATTGAATTGTTAAAATGTTAGCCAACATTGCTAAGTTTGTCAGTACAGAATACAACTTTTAACAAATATTGCTTATCTAGCAATTACCTTCACTATTAGCAAGTTGTTAAGGTTATTTTAAGTTACAGAATTGGACTGATTGTTATGGTAACATCAGGAAATCTCTCCGCTGCCGCTCTTGCATTTCCGTTACAGTATCCGTAAATAAAGTGAATATCCGCATTTTCTTAGTTTGAAAACGTAGCAATATCAATTTAATCTTAAAATTACAACATTCAGTCCAATTCTGTAACTTAAAATAACCTTAGCAACTTGCTAATAGTGAAGGTAATTGCTAGATGAGCAATATTTGTTAAAAGTGGTATTCTGTACTGACAAACTTAGCAATGTTGCCTAAAATTTTAACAAATCAATTGCTTGACCCTAGCAATAGGTAAAGTGCTGTTGTTAAGTCTTAGCAAGTGTATTTCACCCGCTCCAATATGGCAGGTGGTTGGTTTAAATACGAATTTTTAAACGCTGTGATTCTTCCCATAATTCATCTAGTTTTAATATCGTTTGGAGCAGTTCTTTCATGAACTAACATGGCATTTTTCCAAAGAAGTTGGGTGCGCTATTGCAGACACTTTCTCTGCCCGTCTGTGCGAGGCCTTAACTACTCCTACAGTTCAAGATATTTAGTTCGTTCTGTTTGCATTCGGTAGCGTATAACTCTGGCATCTGAGCCAAGCAAAATTTTGAAATTTTAAAAATAGATGTCTCTAGTAAAGATAAATTTTAAAAATAGATGTCTCTAGTAAAGATAAGCATATCGCATATTGTAAACATCAGATGTGTGCATGCGCAAACTGCGCAACTGCCAAATTTCTTATTTCTTGTTTATAGAGAAATTTTAATAACAGATGCTTCTAGGAAAGATAATCGTAACCTGAACCAAGAAAAATCGTGTTTTACTTGTTTTCTAAATTGTCCAAAATTATGGAATGTTGCTGCTATGTTGTTCTAGCGCCACACTGTTTGGTATCTGTACTTTCCATTGCGAGCAAATACAAATTACAAGCCGCACGTCACTTTTAAAGCACAACGCGCCTAATCGGTTAAACTTAAATCAAAAATATAACCTAACCTTACAATTAAAAAGTTTAAACAGTTGTGAATTTAGTGGTAAGAGTTCAGTAGGCCCAATGCGTCTAATTTTAGGCCCAGTGGCAACACTTCTGTCACTAAGATCTGACTAGTTCGTAGCAATTTGACGAGGTGTAGGAATATTAGCAATATTGCTCAAGTTGGTAGTTAGAGAATGACAAATTTGTTATTATTGCTCATAATATTGCTAGAATTTTGTGTGAGCAATCTTGCTATAGTTAGCAATATTGCAAACTTGTTAGTTACAGAATTGGACTGAATGTCACTATAAACAATATGGCAAAACAGGGCCTACTAGATTGATTTATTGTTAAACTTAATATTGCCCGTAACTCCTTAATTATCGAGTTTTGGACAATGCGTATAAGGCAATTTCGACTTAAAATAGACCAATGAATATGGTGTTAAGCTATGTCCATCGAGTCACGGGACACCCTGTATATTTTATTTAACAACCCTGTTAATATTTTGATGCCAGTTGACTCCTAATTCTTTATCATTTCGGCCGTTATGCCATCATTTCCTGAAGCTCTGTCTCTTTTCGCTCATTTAATTGCTCCTCACTTATACCTTTTGTTTGTTGCTCTAACTGTCCACTTTCGTATATCTCATCTGCACCATAGAAAAAATTGATATGTAATGGAAACTGTTTACGTCACGTTGTAATCAAATCCCTAAACTCTGCCACTTAGATTAAGTTCACCGAATGACCTTTAAAAAAATTCAATTTCCTATTCGTCAATCAAGTTTGATTTACACGAACTTATATTATTTTCTATGTTAATGCGGAGAACATTATAAAGGAAACGTGAAATCGAAATTTTCTAAGACGAACATAAAAATAACAGGAAATCCTATAAAATCCAACAAACGATTTCTAAATCATCCCTTTTTTATCGACACCAATAAACTGAAACCGATGCGATCGGGATATTTCTTTTTTTTTTACTGTCGGAAATCTGCCGTTTGTGAGAAATGTTTGTTCGTAATTTGCACTTTCGTTTCTCGTCCATTGGTCGTGCGTCCATGAAGTTTTTGATGTTTACTCAAATTAAATATACGGAACATTAGTTTAAAAGTGACCCCGAGGGCAGACGTGATTTGTACGCCTGCAACTTACAGTATCGATAAAATGTAGGATACTGTAAAACGCCACGATTCTTTCACTGAAGTTTGGTCTACTGATGGCTTGTTCAGCGATTGTGAGCAACTCTTACGTTTTTCGATGTTCAGTTCAGCACTTACCGACTGTTAGGGAAAGTTTGCACATGACATTTATACGCATACTGGTACAAATGACGTCTCAAATCCTAACACATTAATTAGTTGTGTGCTGGAATAACATGCAATAAAGACAGGCGGAATTAGAGTGGAAATTTTGCGAAATGGACCGGTCATTTAATTTCATTTCAGTTTTTAAACATGTGTGTATCTTGATGAAAACGCAATCCAAGCACATACATTAAACTCTGTTAAAGAGTCAAGGGTTCATTTCAAATTTCAATTAGTAACGAAAAACAGGAAACAGAATGTTTTCCTACGTACTTAATTACATATGGTGATATTTTAATCCGACATGTTAGGTATGACGGGGGGCACATCAGCAGTTTCAACTTCGGTGTTGGAAAAGTGATTTATATAGTACACATGTTTCGTGTAATTTACCAAGTTGGATTAAATTTCACAATATGCAGTACTTCCATTTTCACCATTATGACAGTGCAAGCTTAAATTTGAAGTAAGGAAATTGCACTATTCATTTACTACACAGCGACGTTCTAAATTTCCTTTTAGGTGTTGACCTTCCGTGCACAATCCTAGACCGTGGTCACAGTAGGTGAATAACGCTTTGTTACGCCAAACGGCTTATAAAACTAAATCACTATATCGGAAAAATTGTTAAACAAAAAAGGTTCAGATTATCGTCGTCTTCAAAGACCGGACATTTTTTGTTAGGTTAATATAGCGTAATTTACAGAAACATCACTTTTAGATTTCAGATTGCAGTTACGCTCCCTAGCGGCGATTTCAGAAACTTAAAAATATTTTCCAGGTTTTTCTCGTGGCCGTTTTAGTAATAACTTTTTTTACCGCAAGCTTCTACGATGGACAGGTTCCCAGATACAGTACCTCGCATTCTTATTCGGCCACCCTGTACATATTGAAAATCAATTCAAAACTTTAAATGAATTTCATATATACCTTCCTTTGTACATGAATATTTTTACATCTAGGTATATTTTGCTAAGAATTTTCAACGTACTTTAAATTAAAATAGCCATTTTCTTCTGAATTCTAAATAACCTAAATTCTCGAATTGGACAATTACTTATACAGGTTGTATCTTTGTCCAGAGATCTCGCTTATTGGCATAGATAGAGTGTTGGTTAAATTGACAAAATTGATCCTGGAGTTATATCTAAATAAAATCAAAAAACAAAATTGACCCCCTTCCTAAAGTTTCCTAAAAGTGGCGAAAAATAATATAATTTTTTTTGGCTCTAAAATCGGTATTTGAAATTCAAAAAAACTTTCTTTAGGGAATTTTTTCTGTTCTTTTAGATGATGGAAATGAAATTTCATTACACTTTATTTTATATGGATACCAACTTTTGTTTTTTACATGAGAGCCATTTTAAAGTCTTATTTATATCATCTAATAGAGAAAAAATTCATGTTTATAAAAGATCTTTAAAAAAAATTCAAAATTAAAAGAAAAACATTTCGTGTGACATTTTATTAAGTATTAATAATAGCAATATGCATGAACAATCGAATTTCTTTAATATAAACCCGAATTTAACTATAACAAATGTTCAAATTGACTAAAATTTTACTTGAAATGTTTTTTCTTTTAATTTAGCACTTATTTTTGATTTTTTTTAATAATATATACATATTTTGAAATCAAGATTTTTTATATTAGATGCCGTAAAACTTTGTAATGGCTCCCGTATGAAAAATAAAAGTTGGTATCAATATAGAATAAAGTATTAATGATAAGGAACATTCATCTGAAAAGTTACCTAAAGAAAGTCTTTTTGGATTTCAAATACCTCTCCAAATAACGATTCTAAAGCCAAACGTCACGTAGGTATGTTATTTATCACCATGTTTAGGAAACTTTAGAGAAGGAGTAATTTTGGTTTTTTTGACTTTATAGTTCGAGCATAATTTTTGTCCATTTAACCAACTCTCTACCAATGTGAGATCTCTGTACTTAACACGAAATTTGGTACAACCTGTATAAGTAGATAACACCTAAAATTTAGTTGTGCGCATTTCATGAAATAAAGTTGGTAACTAATGGACCTATGAATTTGGAAAATTTATTGAAATTCTGAATTAAACTTTCTGGCACAAAAATATGATTCTTATATTCAGTCATTGTAAATATACAGGTTACTTTTAATATACAAAGCAATTAAATGGTTAAATTCTTTAAAACCGTATTAATTAAGTTTTATTCTGATGACCTCGTCAGATATTGAAAACATTGATTTATTGTGACAATGATTTTTTAATTAGATAAATTGAAATCAAAAAACAAATAAATCCCTCCATTCCTTGAACTAGATCCAACTCTCTCCAGAAATCAATGTCTAAAATTGCCACCAGTCACCGTGTTTTCTTGTAAACCTCTTCCTCGCTCCGGACAATTATTCCACTGAGTTTTGCACTATCGTGCAAATTGAGCCAATAACTACCCGACCAACAGTTACCAAAAAATTTCCCCCAACACTATCTCCGTTCTCAAACCACCCTCAATTCCAGATTCCAGATTACAAATACGTTTCACTACCGGTTTCCAATTCCTCGTAGGTTAATATCACATCTTCGTTTCCTTTTTCTCTCCCCACACCCTCAGTTTGGCCTTCATCCACACTAAAAATCTATTTCTCTCTTTGGCTCTCTGTAATTATTATCCTTCCACGTATGTAGGTCAAAGCATACCCTTTATAAAAAACAATTATTTTCCAACCACATCCTACATTGCACTTACTTGTCATTTTTAGCATTATTATTATTATTATTGCATTTTATGCATACATTTTTTCAACACTTACGCAATTGTCAAAAAATAGCTCAACCAAAACGGCATTTCGATAGGAACAGAATGCACAATTTTACAAGTTGCGGGCGAAATCGTTCTAATTTCCCTCATATGTTACCGACAGGAGCTAACCAACGATTAATACTTGTAGTTCAAGGTATAAGGTTTATGGTTCAAGGTTCAAACTTTAAAAAGACAATTGCTACAGTTAAAAGCCTTTTTTTGTGATATTATGTTACACACAAATATCTACGAAATGAATCGGGCACGCCAGACTCCAAAGTTTCGTTGGTTCCATTTTCAATTTAATATAAATAGCTGAATGCGCGGCTAGCTGAGGAGATTGTTGTTGTTGTTGTTGTGAAAGTTAGTACGCGCAAATTTTATAGCAGAATAAATTTTTGACAATTAATTAGTTGTTTGCTTTCTGAACTACTGTTTTGAACAGTAAGGGCAGTTCGAGAATTGGTTATTGTGTACAATATTGCGACCCGTTATTGAACGGAGCACTAATCAACAAAGTAGCGTTTTAACATACTCAAAGGATTACTATGATAACTTAAATCTTACAAGTAACTTAAAAAAGTGCAAACCTACATAAATAAAGAGTTCTTTCGAATTCGAAAATAAATATGCTGATTGATTATGTGTTAAAAAAACTGTGCAGGATTCGTGACGTATTAACTACCTACTATTACTAATTAAATAATCATAAGAGTGGGGAAATTGTAACTAAAACTGTCGTCATTTTCAACAGTAAACTAAGTTTAATCGGTCTCATTGTGAGAGACTTTTTGTGCATGTGCTTACTGAAGATTTTCTCCAATGATATACGCAGATCAAAACCTTCCAAGTACATTTCAATTTACAAGCAAAAATAACCACCGAAATGATCCCATTGTAATCAAGAGAAATTACCTTTCAAGTAATAACCATTACCAGAAGAATTCATTATCGACAAGTTTCAAATGCATTTTTGTTAAGGAAAACATCTGTATTATAACCATCCAGCTAAGGGCATCAACCCATTCTATGAACTGGTGGAAAGGAGGGTTAGAATTTCTGTGGTCAAATTTTAGAGAAGCAAAGGGAACATCTGCAGTAAGCAAAACTACCAAAAGAATATAAAACTTTGGTAAAGAATTGGTTAGCCGACGGCAAACAATATTGAATTTTCTTTTGTACAGTTTTAGTTCAGAAACATGAGTAAAAGCGATTTTACCTGAATCCCTAACTCCATGTTTTCCTCTTGTGATCAGTATGACAAACCAAACAAGTGCAGTGGGTATCCTTCAGATACTGCAGCAAACGTGTTCGCTCTTATTGAAATGGGTTCTAAAAGCGAAGTGGAAACCAAGCAGAATTTAGCCTCTTCTGTGATCGATGCCATGGAACGTGGAGCCACTGCTTGAAATATTTCTTCTATTTCTTCTTCCAACTGCTTGGTGATGCACAAACGTTGGAGTATTGTAAGGCTTCTCCACTTGTTTCGTATTTTTATGGAAGTTCGCTTGAAAGAAACTTTTCTGATTGCATTTTTTCTTCTCATCTCATATTCTCACGTTGCCGCTACTCATAAAGAACTCGATTTGTATTGTTTTCATATTAATTTGTTGGGCACTTGTCTTATGGGAAATGCTCTAAAACCCAACTCATCACGGAAATTCACCATGAATACCATACAACCGTGGTCCAACCCCCTTGGAGTCTGGTTCTGGTAAAAATCTGATCACAGTGTCGATCCAGCGATAAATCGAAAAGGCTCCATTTTTGAATATGCCCATTTGATGTTCCAAACCTTTCATAATAAAGGCACTTTTTTCAATCTCCCATGCTTTCCGCCTGAATCAATTGCTTAATTGGTTGTTCTTTCACCCAATTACCTGGCCGTTCAACCAACCGCAAATGGTAGTGACTCGGTTATCTAGATGAACACAATAAATAATAAAATCAGGTTGCCACAAAAACGAAATATTTCCAGTATCCATGGAAAATTTTTTTTGTAAATAACTGATTGAAATTTTTCGCCTGACGTTTTTGATTTCTTTTGTAATTAGGTGCAAAATTCCTGTTTAAAATGGTAATGTTTATCATCCTTACTCTTTTATTATTAGCCAATATTGTAGAGGGAGTGTATTTCCGTTCACGTCGGCCAGGCTGGTGTTCAAATTGGGAATGCCACTTGGGAATTATACTGTTTGGAACACGGGATTTTACCGGATGGCACGCTTCCCGGTAACGAGGGGTTGATGGCCTCCACTGACAACTGCTACGGTACATTTTTCTCCGAGGTCGAGAATGGAAAGATGGTTCCGCGGACGATTATGATTGATTTGGAACCTACAGTTGTTGATGAGATTAGAACTGGGAAGTACAAGCAGTTGTACCACCCCGAGCAGTTGATCACTGGAAAGGAAGATGCGGCTAATAATTACGCGAGAGGCCATTACACTATTGGTAAAGAGATGATCGAGGCCGTAATGGAGCGGCTGTACAAGCTTGCCGAACAGTGCTGCGGTCTCCAAGGTTTCTTTGTGTTCCATTCCTTTGGCGGCGGTACCGGTTCCGGATTTACATCCCTACTCATGCAAAAGTTATCGCAAGATTTTGGGAAAAAAAGCAAGCTCGAATTTGTAATCTATCCAGCGCCTCAGGTAAGTACCAGGTTTCCGTAGGTACATTCCCAATTTGATTGTCCACTTTCAAGATTTGTACCGCTGTAGTGGAGCCGTATAATGCGATTCTAACGACGCACACTACTCTAAACCAATCGGATTGCGCCTTCATGGTTGACAACGAGGCAATCTACGATATCTGCAGGAAGAGATTAGGCGTCGAGCGCCCCGACTACGTCAATTTGAATAGACTAATCAGCCAAGTCGTTTCGTCGATCACGGCCTCTCTTAGGTTCGACGGAGCTCTAAATGTGGATCTAACAGAATTTCAAACCAACTTGGTTCCGTATCCCCGAATCCATTTCCCTTTGGCGTCTTATGCGCCGGTTGTGTCCTCTGAAAAGGCCTACCACGAGGGAATGTCTGTATCCGAAATCACGGCGGAGCTATTTGACCCCAGCAATCAAATGGTGAAATGTGACCCGCGCCAAGGCAAATACATGGCTTGCTGCTTACTTTACCGTGGAGATGTCGTACCCAAGGATGTTAACGCGTCCATCGCTCAAATGAAGGCCAAAAGCAACGTTCGGTTCGTTGACTGGTGTCCAACGGGTTTCAAAGTGGGAATCAACTATCAACCACCTACCGTGGTGCCCGGGGGCGATTTAGCTCGCGTTCAAAGGGCGGCATGCATGTTGTCTAATACAACCGCTATCGCATCCGCTTGGAATAAGTTAAACAGAAAATTCGATCTCATGTACGCCAAGAGAGCTTTCGTCCATTGGTATGTTGGAGAGGGAATGGAGGAAGGCGAATTCAACGAAGCTCGTGATAACTTAGCAGCACTTGAATTGGATTATGAAGAAGTGTCGTCAGAGGGGTCCGGCGATGGGGATGATGACAAGTATGAATAGTTGATGTAGCGACTTAAAAAAATTTGTTGTATCACACCATATTATGTTCGTCTAATAAATTGTACGACTTTGTCACTTTAGTGAGTTTCATGCATAAATAGAGTTTTCGAAAATTGAACCGGTTTAACCGGGTTAGTAAAAATAACCATGGAAACAATTGTTGCAATAATTGTTACCCTTGCAAAATCTACCAACCTGGTTAAATCTGTTGATTTTTTCAAAATCTGTACATTCCCTCCACTCCCGCTAACGCACTTACTAATTGAATGTTATTACTTCATTTTGCGAAATTAGTTTAATTCAAATTCTCGCCACTTGATGAGCATATTGCGAAGGTAATATTTACGTATTGTTTCTTTGTTTCAGTATGCGGCGGGGTGACTTAGTGAGTGGAAATAGTGTAAAACCTGGTGTTAGTCTTGCTGATTTTCTGTCGGCGAGACCTACAGGCTTAACTGAAGGAGAAACGTGGGCGATACTATGTCAAGCAGTTCAAGCTTTACAAGATCTCTTCCTTTCCGGTAAGTCCATTCAAATCTTTTTACGCGCGTTACAAGGTACTAGTTAAATAGTGA